CTTAAGCAGGTCATGCATTCATGGTGTTTGAACTCTTACACTGTCAGATGTATCTCGCATCATGTTGTCCACTAGAGCAACTTACCAGTCATCGCGAACCATGTTTCAAGAGCTTACACTGCCTATATGCTAACGCATATACCTGACCTTGGATGAGTCATTCGTTATTTGACATATTCAGACCTGGGAACAACTTGATGCGTATGCGAGATGCATCTGGCACTGCAGGCGCTCAATTACCGTTCAGCCCTGGCCTTCTCAAAGGCCTGCTAAGACAAGTAGGCAAAGTTGCTGTGCAATAAGCCGTGAAAGTAGGTCTTTGATGAGTCATTGGTTATCTGACATATTTGAACGTACGAACAACATCAGATGATATTATGCTATAAAATAACTGTTACTAAAATGTAATTAATACAAACAAACACAGAGCATACACGCATCCTATGGAGTTAGCTAATGGTATAAGATAGCTTGAAATGTCATAACAGTAGTACATAATCACTGCATATCCAGTGTTTGCCATGATCTGCAATTACCTGTTTAGCTCCCTGCTTGAATATGAAAGAGAAATACTTTCTTTAGTGACAGTGTCCTGATAAAGTTTTACGTTAAAGAGCAGAACCAGTTTAATCTGAACAACTTGACCTTTTATCTGCAACTGATCGACATTTCACAGTGAATGAAATAAAACGAAACGCCTTTCTGAAAGGGTTAACAACGACGCAGCTTTTAAATATAGGATAATAACGTTCCTATGGCGATACTTCAAGTAAATTAGTGGATTAAGCGCTAACAAATATTCTACTTGTACCGATGACAGAAAGAATGGATTCTGTTTGTCATGGTGCGTTCTTGAGATTGAGAAAAGTCTGCTGCCTAATAGCTACATTGTTGCCATGCACAAAGTTTGGGGTCGCAAATAATCGACGAGAAACGAAGCGATGTTCATTCTTACCAAATCTTCTTCGCTTTAAAGAATGTACTTTGTTCACCGCTTTTCGGAGAAGAGCTGCCGTACGTGAAATAAAAGTCGGGAGGAAATTTGACATCCAGGATATGGTCAAACTCCTTCTCTAAAGATTCAGGCACCGCCACGTTATACCAAGCAGAAAGAAGTAGAAACAAATCTTCAACACAGTTCAGTTTCAATTGCGATGGTCCCCCTGAAACGAAACAGAAAGTGACCATTAACGGCTTTCAAAGACACTACACAAACTCTTACCGGAATTGAACATCTTCTTCAAACCTTCGATGGTGGCCAACGCCTCATCATACTGCTTATTTAAACAGTAAATGCGACGGGCTCCCTTCTCCTCACACATGTTGTGTATTCTTTCGCAAACTTTAATCAAAGCGATTTTGTCATTGATATCGTCTAAAGGATTTCGTGGGTAAATAGTAGAAATTTGCAAATGGCGATGACCTGAGGCAAATAATTAATAATTAAATCATCACGAAATGACCAAAAGAATATCGCATATTAAAACTGTGGTTATTGTTATTTTGCCATAGTAATCTCAGGCTAACGGAGCTTAAACAGCAGGATAATCCAAGTTTAGTATCTGACCGTTGGAAATGGCGCTACGCACTGATAATTTGTTGATTTAGCTAAACTATTAATTAATTCAACTGATAATAGATTATTAAACTCAATATCGTGCAAAATATATCGCAAATTAATACAAACGGACTAGAAGGACGAGTAGAAACAACCTCTAGAATTCATCTCACTTGATCTTTAAACTCTCAGTAAACGTCTAAAAGATAATTCAATTGAAGAATCTACTACCCTTCCATGTAACTTATTCATAAAAACAATACAGCATCTTTCTGCACGAAATATTTTTTTTTCAACGGTGGGTTTTTAAAAAATCCAAATCTGTTCATGGGCAATTTTTTCCACATCGTTGCAGAAATTTTCACAGAAAGAGCTCGATCTTTAATCTGCCTCCAAACTTTTTTTTTCAAATGTGCATACAATCACTCTGCAGTCTGTCAAAATGGTGATGAAATAAAACATCGATTATCTCAGTCACTGAAGCACCGGAAGAAGAAAAAATTTTAGCATGTCATTTCTTGCTGCTTTAAAAACTAGTACATGTACAGAGAAATATCTAAATTTGGATTCCTATAACCAGAAGAGACACTCTTAACACGGAGTGCTGTAAAACTCCCTTCTCTAAAAGAAATAAAACTAAATAAGCGATATAACAACAGCCATCGTAATTAAATTCGTCGATGACATGATGAAATGACAGTTAACCTTAATTAAAGTTATAATACAATTAAGTTCAAAAACTGTATTTAAAAACAATACAAAATACGGTTTATTTATACACAGCGCAAGCAATTTAGTCAATCAGGTGCACTGACAAGTTATGACGCTTCGGACAATGACTCACTGGTTCTCTTCCAGGTAGAGAAGGGGGTTGGCGGCTTCGGAAGTTCTTTTTGTCGTTCGCAACGGTTCTTACTTCGAAGCCAGGACGTGAGATTTTGGTTGGTGCTGCCGATTAAACAGTTTCCTAGCTACTGGGGTCACAGCTTAATCACATCCGTGCAAAATTAGTATCATTTGTCAAGGATGAGCCTGTCGTAAAAAACTGTCAGAAAGTTTGAACCTCTGTGAACGACAAAAAGAACGTCTAAAGTCAGCCAACCTCCATACTATGAAGAAGGACGGTGAGACATCAGCCAAAACATCGGTACTTGCCAATCACCCGGTGACAAAACTGTTTGGGCTGTGGATAAAAAACCGTGTTTTTGAGCAGTTTTCGGTATGATCATAAACGCACGAACGAAATACTCAATCGTCAAATAGTAATTTAAATAACAAATTCTATTTAATCGCACTTTGTACGAAACTTACGTAGAAAGGTACAAAAATTAACATTAAGTACTATCTTGACGTAAGACATAAAGGTTCTAACGAACTTAATCCGATTAATTAAACCACGTTATGAATGAGAATAAATCTACCGGGTTAATACATTAAAATGCAACCGCGAGAAGTATTAAATAGAAAAAAGAGGGAACACCATCACGCTCAAAAGCATCATCACGAACGCTATTCTGATGTTCTGATATCCATCACACAGGAAGAACGAAGCGTCAAAAGGGAACTTTCGCCATCAACGAAAGAAACTGACTGCGCGAATGAGATGTAAATCCCCCGATGCTGCGGTACTGCCAATTATGACAAAGGATACTATTTGGATAGTTCTAGTAAAGTATGTTGAATACTCGTAGACAGACAGGATGAACTTCGTGGCACCTCTCCATATAAATATGCAATATATCCGAAGCATCAGTAGAGTAAGCTATATCACACGCTGATATACCACCTTCTGCTATGCTTAACTAAGCTAGTGGATGATGCATCTGTCAATTTTATGTTGTAGCAATCAACAGTACTTCGTACTGTACTTTGTACATGACAGCCAGATAAAAGTGAAAACAAACCGCTTCTTATTTACTTTCAATTAATACAGTAATACCTTTGCCAATTATAGCCTGGTAAGAACCCACAATGCCGCTCACCAGCTGGAACGAAATAACAGCAATTTCACACGGTACGAAATTTCTGGTATCAGTAGAGTTGAAGCGGTCAACAAAAATAAGCGAAAACGTCTTGTTCGGCACGTCCGCCTGGTTGAACTTCCACTGCGTTTGAATAGACGCCCTTTCGTAAAATCTTTGTACCTCAACTTCGTCGCGACTTAGACTGGACCACTGTAAGTCCAAAAAATCAAATGCAGGAAACACACATTGACAATGAAATGACAACTGCAATACACGACAGTGTAACACTGAAGCACAACGGGGAGTCCTAGTCAATAGTCAGAGAAGCGGGCTTGGCTGACCTGACGGCTTTTGTATGCAACACAGTTGGGAAATCCGGCCTCCTCCTTAACGCCCGAATCAAAAACTTATAAAGAAGCCATTCAGCACACCGAATCTGCCAGCGGATAGGGATGTGAGAAACAGTAGAGAAAATTAGACAGTTCGATTTCGTGATCTCCAGCAATCAGAGTCAATTAAGCTGTAAACTTTTGGAATAAACATTTTTAAGCAAAGCATCGACTTGTCCCGCGTTTCCAATTCCATAGTTTTGGGCGCATTTGAGTACAAAACTACTTAATCAAAAAGTTGGAAGATTTATGAGTTCATGGCGTAGAATTAAAATGAGCTTTGAAATCACGTCTTGACTTGATTTACTGAATATCGCAAAAAATTACGGCATGCCTGGGCTTCTTGTTAACATTGGCGATTCAATCACATATTATTCACAGACAGTCCATATGTAGTCATGTATTAAGTCACCATTTATACAAAGTCATAACTAATTACTTGTTGCCAGTTTCTGTCTATTATGCTAACGCAGTCTTGAGTCCCCTGCATTGAGAGAGCAGCGTTCAGTGTATGGAACAGCAATTCCAAATCAAGCAAGGTTCCATTTATACAAAGAATTCTTTCTGTACTGAAATGCCAAACCTTAATTAGCGTTATTCTTCTTTCGCATATCACTTAAACAGCATCAATGGCTACTACGCTTGGATTAGATGTCCATACTCAGCAAGGATATCCAACCTATGGCTTTAGACGTGGCAGCATGAAGAAATGTAAAATTCCCCTTGAAGGGCCGTTAGGCGTATTGCTTCAAAACGTGGATTATTACTTGAGAAGATGCACCTCAATCGCACGATGGGGACTCTATAATTTTCAACTTCATATCGTTCACAATTATGCGACACCAGTTGGACGCTTCTGACGTTTACACGGAAATGTGGAATCCAGGACAAGTTCTTTATCTGGCAGACCCAAGACCTCACAAGAAACCTCGTAATAATACGTTTGTATGTTAACAGATATCTCACTACAAACCAAGACGGGATCGGCGGCTATCAGACAGATCAGTCAATTACCGTCGGCTCTGAAGATACTTGTGATGTGGAAAACACAGAGAAAAGTTTCACTTTCGTCGAACACAGTCAGACGTTCTGGGCAATGTATTCTGCTACTTATACCGAGCGAAAGCAAACGAATATCATGCAAGATGGACATGACTGCTCAAAACTCTGTGCACCCTCTTGCATCCTCGACATCATAAAGATGACGTGGGCCCCAATCACAGCTGGTAGGTCCCGCCAAAACCCAGTCTGCACTGTGCAAATTTTGCCGTGCATAACTAAACCAGCTTTCAGACAAATATTATGGAAGGCTAGACGAATGTTGAGCAGCAGTTTGGTGAAATATTGGTTTAAATATCCTGGAAGAAAGGCGATACCGTTTAAACGGGTGAATGTGATTGATTCAGCAAAGAATCGTACATTCCTTCAAAGGAACAGACTAATCCTTGCATGTAACTTTCCGGATCGATGTCAACGTCTGTCAGTGAATTCATGGTAATTTGTGAAATGTAGCAAAATATCCATGAATCTGAAGTACCATGTCTAACAAGCTCTAACAAGCATACATAAAAAAACTGGAACAGCTGCAGACCTTTAAGCTCTGTTAGCTTCACGTGACGATGATAGAACAACAACGACCGTAATCTGAAATATTATAAGATTCAACACTCATGAGTTCTGCCTGTAAAGAATAACGCAAGACCAAAACCCGGTTTCCATCTTACGACTGCATTTTTCAATCACTGTGCTAGAAAAAAACGATAATATGGGAGACGCCGAGACAATGACTGCCAGCGAAGACGGCCATAGGTAATTCATCGCTACCTGCGCGCAAAATCGTTTGATAATTGAACGATCGTGGTCGGATTGTCATTAAAAAATATTCCCAAAGAATGGATGAAATCAGTAAGGTGTGTTTCATACCCATCCAGCAGGAGTTAAACATGAGAATCGCCCTCACAGGAGAATCCGGTTGAGTTAGAATCATCGGTATCGTTCAGAATACAAATTTGTTGGAGGAAGAAGTACCCCATCCGGGAACCTACTTCTCTCGAAGGCGAAGTCTCCCATCAATTGCATGTCTCAATCTTAACAGGATACTACAGAAGAGAAATTTCTAGTGGTTGACAGCAGTGTCATAACACGATAATTGGAACACCCTGTCACCTAACCCTGTTTCAATACAGGGGCAAATATGTAACCTGTGAAAGAAATGGGCTGAGAACGGAGTATCCCTAGGAAAAAAATTCGCATATAGGTTGCCTCGGTTAAATCAGTGTTGCGAGAGGCATGGAAATCATCGTTCTAACGAATAACGATCGTTGAACTGTGCAGAGCAGTACTGGAAATGACGCATGACGGTTAAATGACAGGATCAAACCAAGAATGATCACTCTCTTTTGGGCAAACTTCAAATCAGCAGTTGAGAGATTAAGAAAATGAGGTTGGTGCTGTCAGACAAACTGGTTGAGCAGAAACCATTTAT